AAAAATAAATGAGCACGGTTTATTTTTATAGTCATTTTAAGTTCAAATTTGGACGAAATTACATAAAAAAAAAATTGAATAACTATTTTAGTTATTTTTTTGTGATTGCATAATATTATTCGTGGGTACTTGAAACTTCTATAGGAGGTACACTATTATATATATATGATAGTATCAGGGTTTGTTGTTCATGTATAACGAGTTATAAGTACCTAACGTATATTGTGGTATGATTAATTTGAAATTTATTATAGGTACCTAATATTATAGGTCAACTTTTTTTTAATATCATAGATAAGTATATAATATGTCTTATACCTAGACTGACATACTGTCTCCGCTCAGAATCGTTTTTCTTATACAATGATATTATATCATTGAATTCATATTTAATACCATCTATTATACAGTGACCCACTTTTTATATTTAGGTATTATTATATTTTCAGGTTCCAACGATGTCTCAAGGCAGCAGTTTGGTAAACATTGCGGATCGAACTCAGCAGCCATACAGTGGCCAACCTGTGCATTTAAGGAATTTTAGGCCTGTGGTAACTGTTCCGCAATTAGAAGTCACTGCCGTATCGTCCCCACCATCCAGCCTTGTTCCTCCAGCTGTGCCATTGAATCCTCTTCGGCCTAATATACCGGAACGAACGTGGGCATGTAACACATCTAAAAATGCCGCATATAAGGTTAATGATATTTAATATTTTAAGATTAACTGAATTTATTGGGCCTAGAATAAAATAATATTATTTTTTATACCTTTATAAGATATAAAATATTTATATATCTATACCTTTTTTTATTTAGCAAATATATATTTATTTACAAAAATGGCATGTGCATCACATGCTATTTTGTATAACATAGATAAGTTGATAGTGTTCATTAATAAATATAAGATGGGTAGTATGGGTTAATCTTCAAATTAATAATATTTTAATTTTATTGACTATTTTAAATAAACGTTTTGTATTTAAATGTAGCTTTCCATATTAATAGATATTAGTTTCTCTAGGCTGATTATTTCAATTTGTGTAGGTTTTGTATTAACTAAATGTGTGTGCAGTATTTAAAATTGGTAATAAAGTTACTTTTTCTTTAACATTATATGGGTGTGATATTTTTTAACTAGGTACTTACAATTGTTTCAACATTTATTATTTGATAAATTGCGATATAGCAATAAGTAACACACCTGTATGTTATTAAATTAAATTGAGAGTAGTATTAACACAAAAAATTACTATTTCGATTTATTTGCTATATAGAAAACCGAAAATATGATTTTAAAATTATTATAATACTTGTAATACGTCTACCAGTTTGTAATTAAAAAATCAATAATAAATATATATATATTTTAAAAACAGATCCAAAAGGTAAAATTTCAAGGGAGAGTTTTACATTGCATAAACGCTAAACCATACATCTATTCGGATTTGATGGTGACATTACACGATTTCGTAAAGACGGTGTTGCCGATGTGTAGTGTCAAGAAATGCGCTTCAGTCTTAAACACATACTTGAAAACAGAACTATTCTATGGAAATTCGTAAGTGTCTATTCCTCCTTTTAATAATCATTATCCCTCCTACTACTTATCCAACAGTGTTCTGAAGAGGTTAATACATTTCACCCGTCGTTTGTTTGACAGTGAGCAGTTTACCGTGTTGCGGGAAAATGGACTACTCAGGGCGATGTATCCGGATGAAACACAAATGGCCAGCCTAAAAGATGTCAGGCAAGCTTGGCCGCAATTAAAAGAATTGGTACTCAAGAATGATGAAGAAATACAACGATACCAATCTGCTGCAGCTGCTGCGGGTGGTCCGGCTAAAAGACAACGCACTAGCTAGGAATTGTCCGGGTACATTGGAAGCTGACCCGACTGGAAAAAGCTGGTGGCAGAAAAGCAGACAATTGGGACGGTGTCTTGTTTCTATAAATAGTATGTGTACATAGTACATATATATGTACGAACAACAATTGTATGTATCTAGGTACACGATTCCGTGTAGTGTATATATTATAATTTACTATTACAATAATATTATAAATTTTTATGCTATGATCATTTTGGATCTTTGTCATTTTCTATTATTTCCTACATCTTTGCATTTATTCGTAGTATTAATATGAATATTAGTTTTAAAGGATATACTGAAAAGTGAACAATTGTAAAATAGTTTATTGACGTATTGATGTGCTGTTTATATTTAACTTTTGTATTGGAAATTATGTTATTTATAAAATAATTAATAAATATTTTAAAATCTATTTATTTAAAAGGTCTATTGGTTTCGTAGAAACATTTATTTTATGTAAGCAATCTGAGAATTGATTATATTATTTTCAGTATCCAGTCTATTAATTACACACATTAGTTCGGGTCTTAACAATCACCATTTAAATAGTAAAACTACATTAAATAGGTTTATATTTGTTTGATTCTAAAAGTTTCTAAAATTGTAAGACAAATCACTTAGGCCAGTCAAATTAGAACAAAAAATGACAAAATTTGGAATTAATTAGTTTAAAATTGGAAATTTTTTTAATTGCTTAAGTATTAGGCAAGTATTGGGGGAAATGTACCAGCCCCTCCGAGGTCGGCGTTAGCCGGAATCTTGAAAAAGCAGGTCCAAAATCGGAGTTTTTTTAGTTTTTCGATAATTATTCAAAAACTATGCGGTCTATTAGAAATAACGTAATCAGATCTAAATTATATAACGCTAAATTCTCTACGAAATTAAGTCCAAAAATAATGAGATCAGTCTAATATGAAAGTTCATAAGTTACGTTAAAAAAGTACGTTTTACGAAGTTTTAAAAAAAAATTGAATTTTTTTTAGGTTTTTTGTAATCCGTCAATTTCACCATGAAAATTCGTACCTTACAATTTGTAGAAATTGTAATTTTACATCTAATAGTGTTATATTCAATAATTTTGAGAAAGTATCAAGGTCGATAATAGATTTTGATATTTGACTCTCCAATCCCCTGTAACAATTAATGTACCTATAGGTGCAAATAATTCGTATGAAATTTATCGTGAAAAACAACAACAAATATTTACTCATTTATACCTTTAAGGCTTTAGTTAATATAGTTATAATACTATGAGTATAGTTACTATGATAATAATAGTATGCAATGAAATAATAATAATATGACATATTTTAAGTAACTCGTTTTACACAAAAAATCTAAAGATATTGTAATTTAATTTGAATATACATAATATATATTATATAAATAAAAGTGTACCTAATATTTTTAAATAATTTATTCGAAACTAATTGAATTTATTGTTGATGTTATGGAACATGTTATCCTTAGCATTTGCAATAGCCTTGCTATCTAAGCTCACATAAATCGGGGAATACTTAAAATCTTCACTATAATCTACGCTGATGATGATGTGGATGATGGCTGCAACAAATGACAGGCGACGGAGAATGGCCTCGAAGACCCCGGCGGCCTCTCACACACCACGGTGGGTGCTGGTGGTCTTACGCAGTGAATGATGGCACCAATCCCGATCTCGGGAGATTGAAGAGCACCGTCTAACGTTGTCTCAATGACGAGCTGGTGTAGACGTGTACACGACAGTAATACCCAACCAGAAATATAATAAAACTCACATAAATGCTGGTAATGGTAGTGCTTTATTGTAATAATAACAACAATACAACGGTTTCGTGTCGCACTGACTCGGCTGGTGCAGAATTTGATGTGTGGCAATGACAAAACAGGTAATATATGAAGATGCCCCCCCCCCCCCCCCCAATATCGGCCGAATCGACCCAGACCAATTGTAAGTTAAATATATTCATTTGTATGTATTGTCTTCGGGAAATTGGATATTGATAATAACATTAACGATCATATTCTAATAATAATAACTTGTTTTATATTAAGTTTAATGATTATAAAAACTATTTTAAAATTTAAAACAAAGAAATACTTGTGTATACTTGACAATACTTTTTACATACTTGAAAAAATTGTTATAAAAGTTGATAAAAAATTAAATTTATTCAGCTACTTAAATAAGTTGGTGCGGTTTTAATTTCTGTACTTGATGAAGCTGATAATGAAAAACCTCTTTGTTTAAATTGTTATGCAGTTCCCAAAATCCTCTTTCCCTTTTACAGTAGGTTACGTAATGACCAACTCCTTCAAAATTTGTCCCTCCAACAAAACATATAACAGCCGAAATTCCGTACCTGTAAATTAATTATAATTTTAATTTCTTAGGTTATAATTTGTTAATCTTGTTTATGAGTTCACTTTGATTGTTCGCAATACTATCTTCCCTACTACTATGTTATTCCTACCTAATGTTATTTATATTATCTGTGTTATTTTAATATATGAAAAATTACTTAACTGGTGTGTGGGTTGTGACGATTTCGTTCTGTGCTTGAATTATATTTTTGAGGGATGGTGTTCGATGATCGATACCACTTTGACTTATATATTCTAAGTATGTACCACGTGACTCTAATTTATACTAATGAACTAAGATGATTTTGTTCTACCTTATGTATCGATTGGTGATGTTTATATGATTCGAATATTACACATAAAGTCTTATCGATTCAAAGATAAATTTTTTACTTTACTTGCAAATTGTAGTGTAATGTGATTCTTATTTAATTGCGGAAATTGTTTTTACACCTTAGAGATTTGTTGTATTCGCCGTCACCATATAGGACCTCTAACGGATATGATAACGAACAGCTAGACAGATATTATAATATATTATACTGACCATAAAACCGATCGACGATGTGATTATAATAATTGTATACTTCGGCCCATGAGTGTCCATACGTAAACTGCGCATTGATATAGTAATACGCGACGTATGTTTTCTCCCACCATGATGTCATTCCCTCTATTCAGCAACACGCAGATGTGCAGAGACTGACGCGTTTGGACATATTATGTACTATCGTGGGCCGGAGTAGTATAGGTACAATTGAGTCAAAAACCGCGTGTTTGAGTGTCTAGCTGTCAACAGCGAAAGTCGATACCCGACTTTCCAATCTACCTAAATCGGATAGGTAGTGTACTTGACTGTCAGAATATTGGTACCATAGAATTTATAACGAAAGAAATTAAAAACGATGAATCGAATTTTTATTATCCTAAAATATTTACAATGTCCATAGTCCATATTCCACGCTTGTGGAACGCTTCATTCAACAACTTACGTGAAAGCTTTATTCGACCACGCTTGTCGAATTGACCTTACCAGTTTTCCCTTCTTCCTGTAATCCTGTGTACCTACTTTGTTCTGTGCTCGTCCGGTAATTTTTCGTATTTAAAAGAAAATATGAAAGTTTGAATGTCTGGCTATCAGTCAGGTGAGTTTCAGTCGATTGAAAATCGATTTACGTGCTACTAAGCTACTCACCTAGGTAGACAATAATATGCCATCAGTACACCAGATTGGCAAACCACCTGTGGTGTGGACCTAATGATAAGCGACAGACGACAGAACTCTTTATTTTTAAAATATATTATATCCCATTTTAAGTTTAATGCTTTTATTTAAAAATATATCACTCAGTATTTTTGTTTTTACTTAAAAACATCCCTCGATTTGTTATGTAACAATACCTTAAGTAAGTCTTGGATTAGAAACCAAATTTTAAGAGCACATATTATATCATACCCGGCAAATAAAAAAGAAGAAAAGTTGGTTTTTAAACGGCATTTAAAGGACCGGAACAAACCACGAAAGTCAAAACGCATCATAATAAAAAAATCACAATAATAATAATTTTATTGTAAAATTGTTAAAATTGTTAACGGTGATACGGTTTGGATGCGATAATAAAACACTGAGCTTTTCTACATCTCGCAGAGCGACTAAAAATTTTAGAGACTTGAACCATTTTAGCATTAATTGGACGGTTTTTGTGAAAAGGGGATCAAGTCAAAAACAGTAAATGTTCAGTAGACAATAAAAACGTTTTATATTCTCAATTTCTTAAAAAAAAATTGTATGATATTTTATTTTATTTTTAACTTTGATTTGTTACATGTTTATATAAGACAAAATACCTAAATATAATTGTTAAGTCATTTTGGTTGACTTGACACTAACAGCACATAATTTGTTAAATTATATGACTTGATACTCTTATGTGCAAAAAGTATCAAGTCGTTAATATTGAAAAACGTTTGTGCTATTGGTATCAAGTCAACAAAAATCAATTTAAAAATTATGTATATTATTAAAATATTATGTATTATTATTATATTATTAATTTATAATACAGTAAGTAGTTTTAATTATTATATAAATTGACTAAAAAAAATGTATGATTACAACTTAAAACTTTTATTTTTTTGAAAAATAATTAAAACAAAATAAAATAATTATGTAGTAAAACATAACATATTTTAAACAATATTATAAAATGTGTTCAAAAATACCTCAAAGTTAATACTATTGCACAGACACTTCTTAATCATAATTTACTTAATTAATATAATATATAGGAACTTAATTCACCAATAACATAATATGTTTAAACAGTATAGATAAATATTTAAAAATAAATAGTAACTTTAAACATGAAAAATAAAAACAAATCTTAGTTTATTATTAATACTCTTCATCAGATATTATAGGGTCGACCGTATTTTTGTTTGATTTTAAGTTTTTATAGAAATTATGAAATGTTTCTGGTATAAACTTTAATAAAGACATAAGATCCTTTTTTTTTTCTTCAGTTATAAATAAATCATCATCATATGCTTTTGGAATGTTCATTGAAACTGGATTTCTTTTGTTTAGATTCAATTTATGGAATTTGGCATTTAAATCGACTGATGTCTTG